CCAAATAGTGGGAGCGTTCACTCTGCAGCTGTTAGTACAGATAAGAAGGAAGCACATTTTCTTGATCAGCAAGCCTCCAGCCAGACCCAGACTTCCACGGGACATGGAAGCGTTCACATGCTGGTCTGAAGCCCCTCTTGAAGCTCATTGCAAGCCTGATCTGAGCTGCAGAATTTTTTACAATCAACATAGTCTCATGACTGCCTCACCCCCAGATAATGTAGCCACAGATGTGGGTGCTAGGAATGTCTGTCTTTATTAGAATTAAGGCTTACAGTGCAGGAACAAAGCAAGAGGCTATTTTGTGCCTGCATGTCCTGAGTACACTGTCATTCCAACTGGTATCACACAGATGTTTGATCTGCTGCTCATATTTTAAGGTGTGTCTTGGGCAGGTTCTACTTGGCTGGGACATGAGCAGTTTACTGCTAAATGTGCCCATTGAGATGGAGCTACTAACCCAAGCTTTTAGTGAAGTTTCACACCGTGGGGGTTTTTCTTCTAGAGTCTGATATAGAGAGAACACAGATCTTAGCAGTCTGTAAACATATATACTTTATTTTGATATTCTGTATTTATTTAGCTATTTAAATGTTCGTTATCCAGCATAATCAAGAGGTCAAGGAAATGCCCAGTGATCTTTCAGCAAAACATCATTCCGGAGTTCTTCTGAGAGCACTTTCCACATCCAGGGTTGTCCAGAAAGCCTAGGAACCAGCTACCTCTAATACCAATGAGAGCATAGAATCACAGTGAGTGTAGCTACCAGCCTTGGAACTGGCATGAAAATCTTTGCTTTGCTCTGGTGCCCATTTCTAGAAATGTATAGGCCTGATGCTGGCAGAGGTCAGATGCTGAGTTCTTTGTAAAATGCACTTATGTCAATGTGTGATGTCTTTCAAACCTCATCCTGGAGGCTACTTGAATTTTAATTAATTCTATTCCTAACGGAATTGTGAAAAGAAGTTGTGAAACCTGAAGTTTCATAGTTATATTTAAATGCTAAACTGTCTTCAGGTTATAGTTTCCAGTGAATCACAGGTAAGGTCTCATTTCCCTTCAGCTGTCTCCTGGTGATGGGAAGGAGATGAATAGGAGGTCACAGGGGGTCAGCATCATAAAATGTCTCAAGGAAAGGATTTTCAGAATTTCTTGTAAGACGTATGCCTCTGATTCAAAGCAAAACCAATAATCCTTCTGAAATATTTGTGCACGCCGGGGAAAAGTATTCCTTTCTTTGTTTCAGCCAAATGGACTTAATGTCCATCTCAAAGTCCTTTTCTGTCATATTCTATTTCTATGGCTGAATGATTTCACTAGATTACTTCTTTATCAGATGTTTTCTCTACTTGTAATTCCACAAATTGGATTCCTATCTCCACACAGTGTTTTCTATCTAAATATTGTTCTCATGTCTGCTAACAGGATTACCTGACATATGAGGCTGAAAAAAACAATCACAACTGGCCAGTACTGTGTATCTATAGAAGCCTTAGAATCCATTTTTAATTGCAAAAAGTAAGAAGTGCTAACTCAGCTGTCCTTTGGTTCTTTAATAGCTACCAGGCATCCCATGATATTAAAATATCACTTTTTTTCCCCAATTCCTTAGCATTTATTTTGAAGATTGCTGCAAACAGGCATAGACCTTTAAAGAGTTATTCAGGTATTCAACACAAATCTGCAGGATGTTAGGCCTTAATAGCTGCTGTAGAAAAGAGAAGCTGCGCTGGGAATAGAATTGCTTGCATGCAGCACAGGTCAGAATTTTCGAGAAGGATTTGCAAATCGGTACACAAACTGCAAGTGCTTTGGGTGGGCAGGTTCCCAGCTCATCTGGGGGAAACACTGAAGGGAGATCTGGGGATTCTGGGGGAGTGTGGATAACAGTCCTCTTCTCCTCCAAGCCCGATTCACTGAGCTTTCCCTTCCATTTTGACAGATGAATCAAGAGGCCTTTGTACAGCAGTGACGAGTCACTAGTAGGAAAAGAGTGAGCTGAGTGAGAAGTCATCTTTCAAACTCAGGCATAGTTACACTCTCATCATTAGTACACTTTTCTTCTCTGCTAATGGGGTCAGAGCCATAGCAACATATTTCCTATAAGATTCCCTCCTTCATCTACACACCAGTTAGTTATGTTTCCATACCTTTGAAAGAAGTTCCTATAGCAGGAGAAGAAAGCCCCGTCAAACAGGGCGCAGTCCAACAGCAGTTTCTTATGCTTCTGCAGCTTGTGGAGAAATTACTGTATCACAGTTCTTCTGCTTTTTGCATAATGATGGGATGTGGGGCTCAGCACTGCGTGAGAAGGTAGTCTTGTGAAAAGATTTAAGTTACTGATTTTTTATCAGCTGCGCAGACATAAGAGTAGTTAACAGCTAAGTGACCCATGAAATACCAGCGTGTGCTTCTAGCCAAACTGCAGCTCTTTTGAAACAGGAAGTATACGTGGGAACTACATGATCTACACCAAGTAGTGTCTGATAAGTCCCAGGTCTAATTTTCAGCATTTTTTTTAAGAGAAATGATTAACAGTAAAAGCTCTTGAAGTGTATTATTTTTATTATATTATTTTTATTAATGCCTTTGAATGTTAATGCTACTGAGGACTCTTGGGTAGCGATTCTCCTGAACGCAGCTGAACAGCACATCTATCACTGGAGTTCCCAGCTGAGGCACTCGGTGATGCTATGTCTGGAATCTCTCCACTCCCTCCTCTCTAAAGGTTTGAAGGACAAATAGCTCTGCTCCCCACCCCTCTCTGTAACCTGGCAAATACAGTGCATCCATTGTGCTGGTCAAAGGACCCAGGCTAACATAATTTACTTGTTAACTGGGTTTCTACAATACCATGGCTTGTTTGTTTGTTTTTCCAGAAATGATCAAATCAAGGGCAAAACCTGTTGTGCTGTGCTCTCTACAAATGATGTCTGGGGGAAAAAAAAAGTATATTTCCAAGTTGAAAGCCAAAATAAACTTATTTGGCCAACAAAAGATTGCCTCAAGTGTCTTGGAGATATTTGAATCACAGGACCAAAGTTCCCAGTTCATGAGCATGATACAGTTGGAAATAAGGGTAGGTACAACCAAAGGATGGAGCTGGGATGAAGAAACAGAAGAACAGTCCAATGATCTGTCGCCTTTGTTTCGGCGACCCTGACTGAAGTCTCCTTGTGAAAGTGTTCCGACAGCCCCGGCCAGTTTCGCATGCTTTTCATGACACCAATATGGTGAGCGGCAAAATGGACTTAATTGCAAGGAGCACATCCTTCTTAAAACTTTCCCCATGCCTTAGGGCTACTACCATTGTCTCTGACCAATGGACATGTGGCATATCTTGTTTCCTCCTTATTTGGTCTAACCTGTACTTCTCTCTTATCTTCAAGACATTTGTTGCCATGGTTTCCCAGGGGCCAAGGGGCCCCTGTCGACCCTGGCGACTGCCCCAGACCATTCAGTTAACTACAATGATCCTTTACTATATTCTAATAGGGAAGCTCTGGCCTTTAACAACAGTTTAAATAATACTACAGATGTCACCTATGATGCCCTTACACATAAGTCTGCACATTTCCCCAGTGAGCCTGAAATGGCTGTTTCCCTGCCACTTACCTATCAGAACCTCTGTGGGCAGCCTGCGCCAGCACTGTCACCTGCACAGTAAATTGTAGAATCACAGAATGGTTTGGGTTTGAAGAAACATTTAAGATCCTGTAGTTCCAACCCCCTGTTATAGGCAGAGACACTTCCCACTAGACCAGGTTGCTCAGAGCCCCATCCAGCCTGGCCTTGATTGCTTCCAAGAAGGGGGCATCCCCAACCTCACTGGGCAACCTGTTCCAGTGTCTCACCGCTCTCACAGTAAAGAATCTCTTCCTAATATCTTGTCCTGTCCCCTTGTCCTGTCACTAGCACTGAATGGAAGTACTAAATGAGTGCTTCCTGGTATTCAACAGTAATCCACAGTGATTTGAAAGTGATGGTGCTGCTTTTAATGACTCTTCAAAATAACGTTTAAAACCCCTGCAGCACAAAACCAACGATCTCTTCTCTGGGTGTGCAAATATCTCAGGCACACCACTAGAGGGAAGAGTGTCTCCACCTTCAGTATGCAGCAGGCTGCGAGATGCTTCTCAGAAAGCTTCTCAGAGTGGTGCTGCATTGGCGTGGGGATGACTGTCCCTGGAGATGTCCAAGAACCATGTGGATGTGGCACTGAGGGACACGGTTAGTGGGCACGGTGGGGTGGGTCAGTAGTTGGACTAGCTGACCTTAGCCGTCTTTTCTAACCTTACTGATTCTGTGACTCTAATCTGTGCGGTGATTTTTGAGGAGAAAACGAGGGCCATTGATTCTAGTTGCAAGAACACTGGATAAACCTGGCCTCCATTTTCAGAAATGCTGATCAAAACTTAACTTTAACACTAATTTGAGAGCAGAAATCCAGCTATTTTGAACATGCAGCCTTGGGACCTCAGGTGGGTCACTAACAAGGTAACTGAATTTTTGTGATCAAACAAAAGTGAACCTCCCGAGACCACGTTTTTACTCAGCAAGTGTGTAATTGCCTTCTTCTTCCTTCCTTCCAAGTGAAATTAAAGAAGAAAGAGTGCTCCAGGAGCATCCCAAATGCACTCCGGCCACCAGGCCCTAGGGCAGACTGAGGCTGCTGAGCGCCAGCCCCTGAGGGATGTGTGCTGTTTAGCATTTACTTTTGGAACAACCTCAGACTAAATCCAAGGGGCTGGGTTTCTGAAACAGGAATGCAGACGACACACTAAGAAACCCCATTCGTTATGCTACCAGAGTGAACCCCCAGACCCGCGGGTAGCACGCACTTGTAGACGCCGAGCTACAGCAGCGCGCGCACAGCGCCGCGTGTTGTTGCAGCTGCAAACGCGCACGCGCGCTCCCCTTGCGCGCACCGTCCCCGAGCGGTTCGGTCGCCATGGCAACGGGAAGAGCCGCGCCCGCCTCCAGCCCGCGCTCGCCGCTTGCCGCCGCTGGGTCGCGCCGGCTGAGGTGAGGTGAGCTCGGGGGAAGCGGGGAATGGGACGCGACCCCGAGAACGGCTCGAGGAGGCGGGTGGGTTAGGGTCAGCCGCCGCAGGGGGAGTGTATGGAGCAAAAGCCCGGTGACTGTCTTCTAACCGGCTTTCATTTTCTTCCTCGGGCCGTCGGGGTGTCTATGACCAGAATGTCGTGGGATCCGTCCGAAGGGGTCATAAGGCACATCATCCGCCAGGCGGGGCAGCAGTGTGCCGCCCACGGGCACCCCGTCTCCGAAACAGCGGTGGCTTTCATGGTAAGAGCGATTCCCAGCTGCTGGCAGGGCTACCGTGGTGCGCCATCTCCAGTTTTACCTGAGGCAAAGTAGTCCCTAAGTAGTAAATCCCCTCCTGTCACCAACGCGAAGCACGGACAAAAATCAGGGGCTGTGAGCAACCTGTCTAGAGGGAGGTGTCCCTGCCTATAGCAGGGGTGTGAAACTATGTGATCTTAAAGGTTCTTTCCAGCTCAAACCATCTACTTCATGTCAGGGTGCTGAAGCTGGAATGGCTGTGGCCTAGGAGTGACCCGAGCTGGGAATGGCTCTGTTTTGGGCTGCCCAGGAGTCCTAAAGGGCAGGAGGGTAATTCTCAGTACGGGGCCTTAGAAATGTGAAAAAGCATTTTCATCCCTTTGAAACTCTGCGTGTGAACACAAGGCCCTGAAAAGGCCTTGCCAAGTCTGGCTTGTGGCAAAGGATAGCAATGACAGGAACATGAACCGTTGATAAATCACAAGGAGGACCAAAATAAATGTCAAAAGACTCAGTTTTAATTATTTCCCCTCAAAGATAAAGAAACATTGACTGCAGAGGAGATTTTTCACAACTTAAGAGGTTATTTGCGTGGAGTAGAAGCTGTGATATAAATTAAAAGCTTGCTTTTGGCCATTTCTAGGTGAAAGCTGTTGTTCTAGATCCAAGAAATGACTTTGATGTGGATCAAATCCTTACAAAAAAGGACGTGCAAAATCTTATCCAGGTAATTCCGACAGGATGTTGAGTGTCAGTGCTTTGCTGAGACTGTATCCTTATATGTGGTAATTATAACATCATTTTATTTTGATACAAACATTTTCAGAACTCTAACGACAGTTTCTACCATAACTCTGTAGCTGAAGATTATGTGTTCACTTAGGTTAATGAGTAGAATTTGTTGTGTGTCTAGGGAATGGAGGCAACTGCTCTGCAACGTTTCAAAACCTGTCTCGCAATTGTGAGCAGTTGAGAAGTTTCCCAGCAAATTCAAAAGAACTCACCTCCGTGTCTCTCTCCTTAGCTCTGTGTTTCAAGGCTGATTGACACAACAAACCCATCCCTGAGCACAATGAAGATGCAAGTTTACTTTGATTTGAACTATGCGAACAGAGGTAATTTCAATATAGTAATATTTAATTTTTAATAGAAGCGGTTCGTTCCGACTTTAAACTTTCACCTCTCCCTATAGAATCATAGAATCATAGAATGGCCTGGGTTGAAAAGGACCACAATGATCATCGAGTTTCAACCCCCCTGCTATGTGCAGGGCTAATCATGATTCCTTCTTAAATGAATGCTGGTGCTAAAGTAAAATAACAAGCCCTGGAGAAATGTATTATACAGGAGTGAGTGTTTCAGCCAGCAAAGCTCAGGCTGCTCCTGTTTATCTGATAGAAATCCACTACATGGAAATTCATTGGTGTGCTTGAAAGGGAAACTGATGGCCTATCAATATCCATAATTGAGAGCAAACTTCAACAACTGTGGTTTTAACCAAGTCTGCTTTGGTCTCATCAGTGGCAACTTTATATGGTCTCAGCAAGGGAGTGTGGAAGTGGAAGGAAAGTGAGATGGAGAGAATGTCTCTGCTGTAATGAATTTCTTACCTCAGTGGGACAGGGAGGGTCGGCTGGGACACAGAAAATAAAACAAGAGTAGACAAGAAGTAAATATTTCCAGAAGATGGGAACTGTCATGGAAGTATTTTCTTAGCATGTAATAAAAACAAAACAAGCAAAACTAGGAAGCTGTTCCAAAGTCTTCTAGGTGCAGTAAGCTCAGTAAGTCCAGTAGAAGACTTGTGAGATCCTGTGTAATGTTCAGATTTTGTCATGTAACTTCAGGTGTGTATGAAATGTGTGTGTGTGTGTTAGGTGTTCTACTGCACTCATGGAGTCTGGTAAGGCAGAGTTGCTGCTTTAACTTACCCTGAACCATCTGGCCTCTCCTGATGCTAATCTTGCTAGTTTTGCTAATATTTAACTTCAGTTAAATAGAAGAGCATGATACCTTGTGCATGTCTTTCACATATCACTGATTCAGAAACCTTAAATTGCCCATGGTTATGAATTGCCCTGTCTGCATAAGTCAAATTCCAAAGAATACAGGTGGTGCTTTCTAACTGTCCTTCTTTTTTCAGCTGAATTACTCAGAGAGCATCGCCATGTTCTGGAGGGCAGGTTGGCTCCTCTGCTCAGGGACATCACAGATAGTCGTCCCCGCGTGCAAGAGGAAATGAAGAATGTGTATCAAAGGATTGTTAACTACGTGCTGCTGAGCTCTGGCCTGGGATCCCCAACAGACATTGAGGTTGTCAGGGAGGTGACAGGTCCGTAATTGCTCTCTTGTGAAATTGGACTTTGGATTTCTCTTGTTGAAGAATTAAATGTCACCTTTTTGTTGATCTTTAGAAATAGATGTGCTAAATTGTCATGACTGCACATTGCCCAAACTGTCACTGCTCAGCTTTGATGTCGACATTTGCCATGAATTTCTGCTTCCTGTAGCTGTTGGTCAGGAGAGAATATTTTTGCATGTTTAATCGCTTTTTTCCCTATTCTCTCACTTTACAGCTGCATTGCAGAGTGTGTTCCCCCAGACAGCTCTGGTTCCCTTCCTATCACTCACTAAGAAGGATAAAGAGCAAGAGCTAAAAAATCTTACCATGCTAGTCACAGGAATTCGGTTGTACAACAAGGAATGTGGGAAAGGAGGAAAAGGCATCGATGACTGTAAGTATACAAGAATGCATTTGGGTTGTCAATTCCTGACCTTCTTCACCAGAGTGCCTTCACCAGTTATACTCGGCTCGGCTGAACATGAGCCGACAGTGTGCCCAGGTGGCCAAGAAGGCCAATGGCATCCTGGCTTGCATCAGAAACAGCGTTGCAAGCAGGAGCAGAGAGGTGATTGTTCCCCTATATTCAGCACTCGTGAGGCCGCACCTCGAGTACTGTGTCCAGTTTTGGGCCCCTCACTGCAAGAAAGACATTGAGGCCCTGGAACGTGTTCAAAGGAGGGCAACAAAGCTGGTGAGGGGTCTGGAACACAGGCCATATGAGGAGAGGCTGAAGGAGCTGGGAATGTTCAGCCTGGAGAAGAGGAGGCTCAGGGGAGACCTCATTGCTCTCTATAACTTCCTGAAGGGAGGTTGTAGTGAGCTGGGGGTCGGCCTCTTCTCTCGTGTCATTAGTGATAGGACCAGGGGGAATGGTTTCAAGCTACGGCAGGGGAGATTCAGGCTGGACATGAGGAAGTATTACTTTTCAGAAAGGGTGGTCAGGCACTGGAATGGACTGCCCAGGGAGGTGGTGGAGTCACCGAGCCTGGGGGTGTTCAAGGAAAGGCTGGATGTTGTGTTGAGGGACATGGTTTAGTAGGAGCTATTGGGAATAGGTGAACGGTTGGACTGGGTGATCTTTTAGGTCTTTTCCAACCTTGGTGATTCTATGATTCTATGATTCTATACCCTGCCTCACTAGATAAACAGCTTTGACCCAGGATCTGTAGAGCTGAAGGAAAAGAACAAATTTAGTATTTGATTATAGGTTTCCATGCAGGCTACTACTCTGCTGTTAAGAGAGAACCCTGTGTGATTTAGAATCATAGAATCATAGAATCTTTAGAGTTGGAAGGGACCTTTAAAGGTCATCTCCTCTGCAGAGAACAGGGACATGCATAGCTAAACCAGGTTGCCCAGAGCCTACTCCAGCCTGACCTTGAAAGTCTCCAGGGCTGGGGCATCCACCACATCCCTGGGCAAGCAGTGCCTCAAGGATTACACATATTAACCTCATGCACTAATTTACTTCAGAAAAACTTGCTCTTAGATCTCTTGCCATTAAGTGAATTAAATGTGTAACTTTTGCCTTAAAAAGCAGTTAATTAAGATCTTGAAAGGGCACTGTTGACCCAATTAAAATTTTCTGTTGAGTAAGAGTAATGAGAATTACACTTAAAGAAAAGTTGCTTGGGCAATATCTGAATTCTGACAATTTAGAGTTACTTCTTCAGCTTCTTAACATGTTCTTCACGTGTTCTCTTTTGCATTTGGAAACTTCCTACTTGTTTCATGTGTACAGAACATCAGTAGGTGTCTTGGAATTTTTGAAAACGTGTCTTTGGAACAGGGCAAGAGTTACCTTTGTATTGGCATTTTACAAATGAGGAAAGCTGTCACCTTCAGTGCAACTTTCATTGTGCACTACTGAAGTGCATCTACTGCAAAGCAAGACTCTGCACTGTCCTCCACTTTTGTATTTCCACAGCTGTAATTCTGACTTTACTGTAAGATACAGTGGTTGAATCTGTACACAGACATTTGGGAATGTAAGGCTAGAGTTCAATATTTAAATGGAATACTGCTTGGCTCTAAAATTGCACTGTAACCGTTTGCTCGTGTTTTCAAGCACTTTATATGTATGTATCTTGTATTTGTTCTGCATAAACAGTGCCAGCCATTCTGAACGAAGCCATCCCAGCAGCCACACAATCTATTGAAGACCATCTTAATGCTTGCCATGTGCTAGCCCACCGTTACACTGCTCTGTTGGAATCCATGCATGAAGACCAGAACAGATACAGGCAGCTTAGTTCTTTAAAACTGAAAGAAGCACTGTTCAATGTGAGGCAGTATGAGGCCTTCCTTTGCATCCTTCTGGTGAGTTACCACCTTGTTGTATCCCGTAGGGTTTTATTGCAGTAGAAGGTATCCAGGTTACCTTCTTGTACAGGACTGGAAAAAAATCAACATGAAAGAAATCAGAAATAATCAAAATCAGATGTTTCTCAGCATATGAGAACCTACATAATCTGTCATGCTGAGCTCAGTACCAAACATGCTGGGTAAAAGGCAACGTGCATTAATTGTTTGTTGCAGTGTGACTGTGATTCCACTTCAGTTCTGGAGGTTTCCTTTCCTGGGAAGGATGTGTCTTTTTATCACCAAAGGACTGCAAATGTAGGACATCTGCCACGTTTGCATTCTGAGACTCAGTCTGCTCAGACACTGCACAGATGACTGGAGAAAGTGGGATTCTGCCATCAGACACCTCATAAGAAAAGCCAGATGACCTGAAATTAACTGAAGAAGATGTGGGTCAAGAAGATTTTCTGCTACTAAAAGCTATCACCCAAAAGAAAGATGAAAGAAAAATTATACATCATCTCAGTTTTAGGCTGTAGACATCCCCAACACTTGTGGGGTCATCCAAAGTCTTAAGAACACAATTTAAATTCCTGAAACTTGTTACACTTATGAAGATAGTTTCATTTGCCTTTTGAAAACTGTTGTGTTTTTTTTCCATTAGCCTATCTTTAATGTCATAAAGCTTAAGAAAATATTTCTTTTAATAATTTTTCTTGTTACTAAACACTTATTTTCTTTTACTATCATACTTCTTACCTGAAGCACATTCTTCTTCCAGTCTGACACAATTACAAGTGGTCAAGAAATTGAAAAGTTGAATGTGGAGTTTACAGCAACAATGGAGCAGTTTAAAAGCACCATTCAGAATAAGGTCTCCGTAGATACCAAAGAAGCTTTTGTAAGTATTTGAAAGGAAAACCTATTTGACTTTAATTATTAAAAAATCATGAAACCATTGCAAAATACTTTGCAGGAGTGGTTTTGCCTAGTTTAAGAAAAAAGCTGCAGCTGAAAACAGCACTCTGTGTGGTTTTTGGGCAGGCAGCTAAACTATGGGACTTGATCTCAAGGTAAAAGGAGAGCAAGGTACAAAATGGGGGAAGGAATGAAATACTATTTTACTGTGTCTTGAGTCGTTTGTCAGTATTTTTAGCATTACAGCAATGTTTTCCTGTGATGTTTCAATGTTTCATCCTTCAGAATAAGTAATTAGAAAGCAAAATAAAGTCTAATGTGGAGGGGGGAAGGAGGAATACCATGCATACCTACATGTGCCTACTCTGAGCAGAAAGCTTGTGGAAAGAGCGTGATCTGGCACTGCATGTGTGCTTGTGATTTTACAAGCCAGACGTTCTCATTTGGAGAACATTTACACTGCTCATCGAGTCGCTCAAATCAGTTTTTCTGCTGTACCTTCACAAAGCTTAAGTGCTCAGTACACACTTGAACACAGTGGCAAAGAGAGAGGGAAGAGATGGGTAGTCTTTCCTCAGGGGTGGGTGAGAGGAGGAAGCCCAGTTTAGGCTCTGTAACTTCTGGAAAATCATGTCCCTTCCCTGGTGACAGAAGAACTCTGTGAAGATTCAGTTCACCGACCTGAGTTTAACCTTTCTGAATACACACTGCCCTTCTCCTCAGAAGCTGTCTCCTCCTGGCTGCTTCCTAGATTTCTTCTCTTCAAGTTGGTTAGTTGTTTCTTCTCCTCTGCTGAGGGCAGAATATGTAATGTGATTTGATTTCAGATGTTTGCAGATGGAGATTTCCTTGTTAAAAAACAGATTCTGTTGCCTTTGGCTAGTTGCTGAGAAGCTGAATCCTGAGGGAATGTGGAGAAGCAGGATGTTCTGCCATTTAAAATTACAGAATAAGGACTATATTTGTAGTAAGCCTTTATTTCAGAAGACAGTAGATTTTATTAATATTCCTTTTATTACATATAGTTTGTTATAGAAAGAATGGTTTTGATCCTTGCTTCCTTTCCTTTCATTTCTTCCAGTTTTGCAACCTTAACATTCTCACCATGCTGTGATGCTGACAGATTTCAGACCCAACTCTTTTGACCGTTCATGTAATAATGCTGGTAACATGCATGAAACACATGGTGTTAGCATCCAGCTAGGATTAGCTGAAAATTTTCTCATAAACACTGCATGTTTAGATGTTACCAAACACATGATTAAAGTAACTATTTATACTCCAAGCTGAAAGGCTTCTTCTATATGAGAGTACACAAGGATGTGAGAGTTGCTGCTGTTTGGAACGCCGTACCCATCTGAAGAGGCTTGCACACCATTTGTCTGATATACACCATAGCTTGGCCACTGTGGCACTAAGTCACTCTGGAAGCAGAATGACAAAGACAGGTCCTTTGAAGATAGGAGCTGGGAGGTTATTTCATTTGGTAGTTTAGTCGGTGTGGTTCACCTGGTTCTTCCTGTATAATTCATTTCCAGTTACAAATCTGCAGTGTCAGTGAAGCTCTCAGTTCCAGGTATGGTTTTGGAGTAATCTGTTTGGAAAAGACTTCGGAGTGAATCATAGAATGGCCTGGGTTGAAAAGGACCATAACAATCATCAGGTTTCAACCCCCCTGCTATGTGCAGGATTGCCAACCCCTAGAAAAGTACCATTCTGGCCTGTGGCCACACATATTAGGTGCTTGGACACTGAGGTGGCAGTTCCATTTTCAAAGCCCTGGGCTTCCCCCAGAGTTTCTGAGTGCTGAAGGCCTTGTAGATCAGGTCAGCTTTGTTCATACCATGGATTGTTGCGCACAGCATATGGGTTATGTTGCAGATACAAAATGATTCTGGATTTCAGATCATTTTCTTTTTTTTTTTTTTTCCTTCCCTAGCCTCTTTTTGTTGCAGCTTTCAACCTATGGTCCAGGTTTCAGGATGAGATACTTCTGCTAAGCTTCCTCACAAATATGACTAACTCTCTGCAGCAGTTCTTGGAAACCCAGTCACAGCTTTTTCCTGAGGAACTGCTAACATCTCTTCTGGAAGGGGTGACTGTGAAAACTGATGAGGAGAGGATAAGAGAAACCATGGGTACTGAAAGTTATTAACGCTTTGATTTCCTTCGTTTCTCAAGATTATTGAGGTGGTGGTGTTTTGTTTTGTTTGTTTTTTGCCAAAATCATTTTTTTGTAAAGCTGATACCCCTAATAAACCAAGTTATATTCAAGGATATGCACTGTTTGTGAGTGGGTGTAAATGAAATAGGAGTACTTGATATTACCATCCTTTTGCAGCTCTGTTTCCAAATAAAACTAATGCTTTTGAAGCAGGACCCCCCAGTACTGATTTTTCAGTCCTTCAGGGCTGATTCCTTAGGATCTCTTCTGAGGTAGGTCTTAAATTTGGGGATTTGGGGATCGTGGCACTGCAGATCCCACTGTGAAGACAATAGTAATCAGCTCAGCCTGTAGTTTTGTTTGTATTTTAAACATCAGATGTCTTGTTACTGAAATCCTTCCCTTGTTAAACCATAGGGACAAGAGTGAATGTTTCTGATTTCAAGAACCAGGAATGGCTTTTTCCAGAGACTACCTCTAATTTTGATGAATTGTTCATCCAGTACCACGGCTTCTGTGCACACGCAATTGGTGCAAAAGGCCTCACCCTTCCAGGTATGCATTGCAGTTAGATGTTCTCCTTAATTGATATGTGCACAAGTACTAAGGAAAATGGGAAGACATATTCTGGAAGTGTCCTCTTCTGTCAAAGATGGAGTTCCGCATTTTTTGTAATTTTCACTCCTGGATGATTTCCCCTGTTAAAGAAATATTCTTTAAGAAATATCCAGATAAAATGCCCAAAATAGAAGGTAGGAAGGCTTCAAGGGTTGGTAGGCACAAGCAAGCAGAAGCAAAGCCAAGATGAGATGGATGAATGTTTCCTCTTTGCTATCTGTGCTTGTATTATAACCTGCATTGCAGCTGAATGCAGGTTTGTTTATTGTTGTCAATGTGTTTTCATACAGTCATTGGAAAACTGTCAGATACAGGATACTGTTTCTCTTTGTTGCAAACACACACATCCATGCCTTGAACAGTGGATATTTATTCAAACAGTAGATACAAAGTACCAAAAGTCTTCTGTGACAATAATACAAAATCGCACTTAGTGGTCAGCCAATGGTTGGATTGTATTTGGTCTGGGCTAAGGTCACTTGTCTTGAAAGCGAGTCTCATTTCAGCTACTCTACCAGTTCATGTTTTCTGTCTCCTTGTGTTTTATAGAACCTATCCATGTGGACTATTTTAAACCTACAGGAGACTGGGAGGAAAATACGGCAATTTCTTGTCAGTATAAACAAATACATAATTTAATGGTGGTGTGAATATATTTAAACACTTAGTGCTGCATGTAAACAGCTGTCCTGGGTTGGACTGAAGGTCTCTCCAGCCTTGTGATTGCTGGATGTGGCAATTCATGGCCACTTGAAGACCATGAGTAATTAAGTAGAAACAGCCCTTCTTGCATTATATTCTTCCCCGTTTCAGCAGTCAGAGGTTATAGGATTTCTTCAGATGAATGTTGTGTCTGCACCTTTCTGTTAAATAATCCTCAAGAGAGACTTTTCATTTATCTAATTGCTTTTTGAATCCATTTACAGTTTGCCATGAGATATTCTTATTGTCGTTATGTCCTACAATTATAATTACCTGTAGTATGAAAAGTACCTCTTTTAGAGACGGTTTTAAGCTCCAGCTTGGTAATTTCATCAAAGGTTGTTTTCCTATTAGAAAAATTAGCAAGTAGTGATTTTACATCTAATGTTCTACAGGTATGATAATCTCGTATCGTGTTATTTCTCATCAGTTGCTTGTTCTCAGTGCTGAGGAGGCCTCTTTCTTTGACTCTTCCTTTGTGGAAGAGTTAAGATCCAAACCTTGGATCACTTCCAACTCACTTCACTTAATTTATATTTTTTAATGAATTGGAACAAAATGTAGTATAGGAAATGTAGGCTTCTATTGTTTTTTTCTCCCCTTCTGTATCCGAATAATTCCTGAGGTTATTCATGCTTTTTTGATTGGCATTGAGTAGTGCCATTTAATATCTTCAGAGCACAGCCTGAGGTGATTCTAGGCCTTTCCTAGACAAAGACAGCCAAAGCAGAGCCATTCACTGCAGTTGAGCTCAATTTGTATTTTCTTTGATAAGTTATTTGGCTGTGATTGACATTTAATTTCCTTTCTTTATTGTCCAGCTTCTTGGCTGCTTATTCTGTTTCTTCGCTTAATTTCAGTGTTAGGCCCCTTGGTATAAAGGGACTGCTGATCTGGAGATTCTAGAGGAAACATTTCTGGGTATGGGCAGTGTTTTTTACACCTTTCCCATATGTGTTTCATCCATTGTTTTTCTCACAGACACAGAGTCTAGTCTAGACTAAAGCACAGTGGTTGGAAAGTAATCAAAAGCAGTTGTGATGACCTAAAGAAATTTACTTTTCTCTATTTAAAAAAAAAAAAAACTTTTTCCAGAGATTTATTCTGATTTCAGAAAAAAAAGAAAAAAAGAAAAGTGAAGCTGACTTGAGGAAAATGTATGACCTTGATCAAAAATACCTTTTGGATTGCATATCATAGTGTTTTGGTTTTGTTTTTCCTTAGGAAATCCTGCTATTGGCGTTCTGAAGCACAAGGACAGATGTTATGTTTTCAGTTCCAAAGAATCTGCATACATTTTTGCTCAAGATCCAGATAAGTTCATTCAACTGAATGTAGAAAAAGCAAAAGAACACGCAGAGCTAATTCAGCTGCTCAACCTTCACCATCAGTTTGGATACCTTGCTCCTCGTATGCGGGTACTCATTGCCTCTTGCTGAACAACTGTTGGATTGCTGGTTTATCTGTTCTTTCTAGAACATAAAAAGAACAGGGGTGATACCCAGAAGAATAATCTGCCTATCACACATGATGCCAGTTGGTCCATCTCTTCCAGATCTTCAGGGTGTAGATAAGAAACATCTTCCCTTAATGTTCTCAGCTTTCTCCTACCAGGAGAACATGTGGAGCTGAAGGATTATGGTAGTGGTAAAAAGAGCTGTTCATCCTTAGCCAAGGAAAATCTTGTGTCTGATGTTTCTTTTCCTCATTTTTGCAAAATTAGCTTAAAGGAACAGGAAGTAAATGCAATTGAAGATATGCCAGATACCGTATTAAGTAGAGCTTTCACTCAGAAGTTCATTTGTATGTGTTGGTTGAGGATGTAGTGATATGTGGGACGGAAACTGTGGAATATATTACACAATGAAAGGGACTATGATCTATAAAAATGAATGTGATAGTTGTACCATGTGAAATCCAAGGGCTTGGTTGGGTGAGTTAAACTTTTTCTGTGTTGCATCATGAATTTGAAACCCCTAGCAATGCAAAGAACATAGACTTGAACTGACCCTTGGTGAGAAACATGAGGTTTATATCCCACCTCTGGAGAGAATCACAGAATCAGGAAGGTTGGAAAAGACCTCTAAGATCACCTAGTCCAACTGTCAGCCCACCCCCACCATGCCCACTGACTGTGTACCTCAGTGCCACATCCACACAGTTCTTGAACACAGTTTCTTTTCTTTTTAGCGGGGTCAGAGGATCAAAAATATTGTTGAATGTAAAAATCATTACCTACGTGCATTGTACAGGTTTGCAGGTTTCTTTCTGCTATCTTACTTAAGCAGCTGTATTCTTTTCACTAATGACTTGCTTATTGTTTTTTATTTCCATCCAGATAAGAAGCTCAGACAAACTTCCGATGAAACCAATCACAAAATGTGACAGTGGTACTCAAACTGATACTCATATCTTGCCTCCAACTATTGTGAAATCCTATGAATGGAACGAGTGGGAACTGAGAAGAAAAGCTGTAAAATTGGTTTGTATTTTGTTACTATCAGTGCGTAGATGTTAAGATGCGTTCAGCAGTTTATCTTTAGCATAAGCAACCGTTTATGTTTTCTAATAGTTGAGCACAAAGAGCTTTTTGGTAATTAAAAAAGTAAAAAAAAATCATTTGGTAGCTCATTGGTTTGACCTGCTGAGAGACAAAGTATTCAGGGTGGTTTATTATCAGCATCTAGCCAGAAAACTTGAAGTGTTAAAATATTTCTTTCTTAGAAGACATAAGCTTAGGCTGTAGATTTTCCACACCTAGGTGCTTCAACTTCCTCCACAGTCACAAGAGATCTAGCTAATGGAGTTTTGGAGACTGTTTGGGTTCCTGATGGGAAGACCAAATTCCAGGCCAGCTTAGTCACTCTCCAGCCTCTGCTGTCTTTGACTTCAGGCTCCACCAACAGGACTGGACTCTGGGAACTTTCTCACCCCTTACTTGTGTCGGGGTCTGAATCCCACAGCGTGAGACTGTATTTGCTGTATTTCAGTGATACCATCCTATGATTTACAGTGCTGTACACCATTGGTGACATAGAAGAAGGAGCATACATTTTGCTAACTGCTGATTTTGTAATTTCAGCACTTGGTAAGAAGAGGTTTTGTCATTGTATCTACAACAGTTGCTATGATTGAACGTGGCTTTCTTGTTGTCATCGTAATCATAAAACCATGGAATCATAGAGTGGCTTAGGTTGGAGGGGACCTTAAAGATCATCTGGTTCCAACCCCCCTGCCGTGGACAGGGTTGCCAACCACTGCATCAGATAAATAACATTATCTTTTGCCTCTTGCCAAGGGGCTAGCTAGAAATGTCTTGAAAGAATTTTTTTTTCCTTTTTATTTGATAATCTGTGATACCAACAACCAAACCTCATCACACGAGGCACAATTACCAAAGAAAACACAAAACCAGCAGGAGGCTGACTTAAAATTGTGCAGGCTACACACAGTGCTGATCATTTGATTCTTTTTGTCTCTTCAGGCCAATTTGCGTCGCAGATTAACTCATGCCATGCAGACTGATCTCAGCCATCTGAGAAGGGAGAACTCCACCCAGGTGTACCTGCCCAAAGATGTCAGCACCCAAACAAAGAGTGACAGCTCAAGCAGTGTACCCAGACCACAGATTTTTTTGGCAGGTCTCCGAGGAGGATCGTCTGCTACTACTGAAGTGGTCAAAGTGGATTTAACAAGACCAGTAGATAAAGCCTAAGAGAAAATGAGAGACTTAAGGAAATGTATTAATTATATGTAAAAATCTCAGCATATACCTGAATTGAATTACAGAAGAATCATAGAATCATAGAGTGGTTGGGGTTGGAAGGGACCTTTAAGATTATCTATTTCCAGCCCTCTGCTATAGGCAGGGACACCTCCCTCTAGACCAGGCTGCTCACAGCCCCATCCAGCCTGGCGTTGGATGTCCTGGGTCTTTTGATTGCAGGAGCTGACTTATCTGCTGGGGCCTCCTAGTAGGATGGCATTAAGTGATAGAAATGAATCCTGAAACACACAGAAAAAAAAAAAAAAAGCAATTTTGAATCAAAATGTGCCAGAAAACTTTAACTTAAACCAACATTTAAATGTGTTCTGTGGTTCTGGGATTTTCTTGACATTTTAATACAATGATTACTTGCTGAAACGCTGTCCTTAAGAGCCACAGCTTTGATTTTCGACAGATAGGAGATACAGAGCCAATCCTGCAGCTCCTACAGAGGCACAGCGCTCGTTGGTGTTAGCTAAAACTGATGCCACGAGAGTCATCCAGATATCACAGCTCTGCCTGGAGAGCATCATAGTAGAGGTAAAACCAGCAGGATGGGATCTCCCCATGTCCCTGGGCTGTTGATGAATGGCCTTCCATGGCATAGGCCTCATGAGTGTAGGCACACGCAAGGAGCTGGAGCTCTGTGGGATGCTCTGAGGTCTTTGGTGATTCATGTGGGCTGACACCAGGTGTGAGGTGTGCAGGTGGGCACACAGGACACAAAAGCAACTTGGGGCATCTTTTTTTTAAAAAGCTCTGCTTTGCTGTGTTTAAAAAGAAACTAAAACCCAACAGGAAAAGGTTTTTAGCTGTACTTCATTGCCTCATGTCGTACTTTGTGTCACTGGATGCCCGCCTGTTTCCATTTGTTGTCATTTGCTTTGAACATTTTATCTTCCAAGTCCTTGCTTTGAACCAACTCAGCGGTATTTACACACATTCACTGATATAAAATTGATGATCCAAACTCCCTTCTATTTCCTTTTACATCTGTACAATGTGAAAGCAGTAGGCAGCAGCGCACAACAGCGGGGAGCAAAAGCCACGCACCGCACGCAGCTCCTGTTCCCCGCGGCGCTGACTCCTCCACCCTCCTGCTGCTACCGGGCGCCGCCGTGCACGCCGGCGGACCTTCTGCCCGAGCGGAGCCTCCGCCTCTATGGTAGAACGGAGAGGCGGGGCGCTCTAGGCGGCCGCGCGGCTCTCTATGGTGAATGGGAGGAGGGGCGGGGTGCGGCGGGCAGCTGCTGCCCGGCGGCTCTTCCAGCCGGCACCATGTCGCCTCCGAAGGGTGAGCGCGCTGCGGGGTACCGCGGCTCGGAGGGGGGGAAGGAGGAGGGGACCGACCCCGCCCTCGCGAGACGAAGCGCGACCCGCGAGGAGGGGCGCGGGAGGGCCGGGCGCGCTCAGGGTGAGCGGCGCGGCTCCGCTCGGCGCTTTCCCCGCGGCCGGGAGGGAGGCAGCGGCCTCGCCAGAGCCTCGGGGTTCGGCTGGGGGCGGCCCGGCCCGGCCGTGCGGGAGCACTGTGCCGGAGCGCCCTGCTGGGGAGACGCGGGGCTGCCCGGCGCCGTCAGCTCACGGCGTCTCGCAGCGCTTGGTTTCAGCAGGGTTCGCAAACTGTTATTTTTTTAGAGCGGCGGTTATAAGGAAACGCTGCATATAACGTTGGTTCGGTGCTGCGTGGGCTTAGATTCTAGAGACGTAAAAAGCTTGAAATGCAAAGGGTCCAGCCGTCGGTGTCGACGCCGTTTCGGAGGAGCGCTGCGAGGAGCACACGCGTGTGTCAGCTGTGCTGCTGGGGCCGGGCGGGTGACTCGTGGGGTCAGCCCTCAGCCCATCTCCAGGCGCTGCTGGGCCCTCTAGTCGCTGTGCCCTTCAGACGTGGTTACTGACGTGGGGGAGATCGTATCTGTAAGGAAGCAGCTGATTTAAGCGGTTGTGGGAGCGGGAGGCATTAACTGTACCTCGCGAAAGTGTTATGCAAAAGGAGGAATGAATCACAGCTTTGGCTGTGGTGGGTTCAGCAGTTCATCCCCTTCTCTACGTGAACAAAGCCATTACAGAGCTGCCCCCAGCCTATCCCATGGCTCAGCTCATCAGCAAGGGAATGTAAACTTACACCAATTAAGCCACATTTCTGTAGGATATCCAGAATGTGATGGATGATGCCCCAACAGTTGCTGCAGAAAGGTTGTCGCCCCCACGATGCCATACAGAGCAGGGAATAATGTGCTCATTTGCAAAATGCTTCTGTAGTCACGCCACGTTTGCAAGATTTCTTGAGTTGGAGGTGGTGCTTTCACACAGAGAAACCCCACTTGGAGTCGGCACTGTTTTCTCTGCCATTCTCTGACACTGTAAAAACTGGCGTCATCTGGCCACGGGTAATAAGTAGTCCTTGCATGGCTGAATTTAGCTGAACGGACAGGACATCTTGTTTTCTATGGCAAGTGATTTTCCAAGAATGCCTTTCGTATGAAGTCCTATCGCCGTTCTGAGGAAACACCTCCTCCTAACCTTGGTGGAAAGTAAGACGGAGGAGAATGCTGCCATCGGGTTTTTGAGATGCGTTTCCTGCTTTGCTGATGCTGAGCACTTCCCTCTTTTTTTTTTACCAATCTGCAGCACTGTTGGTGCCTGACCCCCAAACAGGACAGAGAGGATGGGCTGCTGTTTGGCATGAGTGTAGCTGAAGAGTGAGAGAGCACAGGAAGACTTAGTAGATAAACGGTTGGACTGGATGATCTTTTAGGTCTTTTCCAACCTTGGTGATTCTCTGATTATTAGGGTAGGAGGATATCTTTTTGTCAGACACGTGAGAATCTGAGAAGAGACTTTAAAATTGATCTTAGACTTTGTACACGAAGCACTTCACAACATGATATTATTGTATGCTACTGCAGTAGACTTTAGTACAGTCCTACAGCTGTAGGATGCCCTATTTCCATTCTTAAATTAAAGTGAGGGGCATGCTGAGGTGTTGTCTTTGTTTCCTTTCAGAAAATGTCAGCCTGCTGTACAAGCTGTACTGCCTCACAGTGATGACCCTGGTCGCTGCCACATACACCGTGGCACTGCGCTACACCAGGACGGTGGGGGCAGAGCTCTACTTTTCAACTACAGCTGTGTGCATCACTGAAGTCATCAAGCTGTTCCTCAGCGTGGGTATCTTGGCTAGGTGAGTGTGGGGATGCCAATGGGCGTGTGGAAAAACCAACCACTTCTACTCACCTCTCAGTTACTGAGGTGCAGCTGTGTCTGAGTGCATTATGGGGGGGTCACACTGCAAAGTCCTCTTAGTGTGGGGCAGGGCTCGAGTCCTCCTCAGCTGCAAGTTCTTTGTAAACAGCATGATGTTCTGGTGTGTCCTGTCTGCCTGTTTTCTGTATTTGTGTACTTTGGAGTAGGTTCAAAATGTCAGCATGGGTTATCTGCAACCAGTCTTGTAGAATTTTGGTGTCGTGTGTCTAAGCCATGGAATACTGAATTATGTAAAATTGTCGTGTTCCTACTCATAAATTTTGCCAAGCTGTGTTACAGAAGGACGTCTTGTCTCTCTGTTAATGTAGGGAGTCAAAGCTAAAAGACTACAGTGACCAGTGGGCCTTCTGTAATACCACCTGTTCATCTCTGTTGTGCCTGTGAAATGAGTTCTGCAATATCATTACACAGTAAATGGAAAAAGTAGTTATTTTATGAACGCTTTCGCTAGTATTTTCACTGTATTCTGTCATCCTGTGTTGAAAGCCATCATGACTAATCTTTCCCTCTTCATCTTTGCCATTTTTGTTTTCATGTCTGTATTGTTTTTTCTTCACTTGTATTTTCTAAGCCAGTGAGGCTTAGTTTGGTTTATGTGTGATCATGCTAGTACCCTTTCTGACGGCTTTTCTGGTATTACTGCATTCCTTGAACCAAGATCCAGAGCTGTGTGCAGCACTCAAGGTGTGAACGTGCTGTTGCATGATGCAGGGGAGTAGAGGTACTCCCCGGCTTGGTGTCAGTTCCTTTCTGAAGAAGCCTTGGAACACAGCTGAGCTGTGGGCTGACGTGCAGGAGAGCTGCTCGCATCTTTTTTCTAAGTGCCAGTAGCAACTTTCAGGATGGTTGCTCTGTTTTGAGGATGTCATCTCTTAGGATTATTTCTCAGTTTTTTGGTAACTGAGTTTTATTTGCCATTTAAAATGGGATTAATGTTACCAACCAAGCTTTTTGAAAGTTAAGATATCTATTTTGATCTGGTCAGCTATTTACTTATTTTCTCCATGGTTAAGAGAGGGAGATAATGAACAGCACCACCAGTGTCCACCAGGCCTTGCTCACCTCTTCTTGGTGGGATGTCTTACTTGCTGGCTGGTCTGGATACCATCCTTTGCTGTCCATATAACCAAACTGGTTCTCACGTAGCAGAAGAACTGGTGAATTCTGCTTGGTGCAGTGAGAAACCCTTCAGCAGCTACTGAAAGTTCTGTGTTGGATACCATGTATAATGTCATATAGTCAGCAATATCCCGGTCATGTCCCCTGTTAGACCACTTATGAATATGGTGAACAGTTCCAGCACGGCTTCCTGCAGTGCCTGCCTGATGGCCTCCTCCAGGTTTAGAGTTCTAACCAATTTGTCTCCCTCAAGGCAAAGTGCCTTTGTAGTGTAATAGCCACTTAAATCACCGTGTTCAGTTTGGTTGGATCCATCCCACTCCCTTTTCTTTTTGAAACATCCAGCCTGACAACCTCAGTACACAGGATACTGCAGTGTGACTCTTGCTTTGTTCCGGCTGCAGAGTTTGTTTTCTTACACGTTCTTATGCTACACTTTCACTGTGTTTGCTTTCTCGGGTTTCTCCTGCAAAACATATTGAATGAATGAAGTCATAGGATTGTCTTTCAGAAGGGAGGGTTGTGATGGTTTAAGCTGTGTAATTATTTACTCAACTGTACAGTTATGGGAAAAGACTCCTCATATTTATTTCAAGTCCAGCTGGCCATTTGGTAATTATGTTGTCCATGTTCTTGGGTGGTACATAATTTCTTAGTAATGGATCAGGAAGAGCTGATTTGCAAACAACAGTTTTAACTTTTTT